ATTCCAGCAAATAGTCCGAGCCGCCACCCAAAAGCTCAGTGCAGCCATCTTACAAACGTCCAATCCCGATTAAAGCTAACACGTCAAGATAGAAATAAGCGGCAGTGTGGCGGGTGATGGCGGCCGTGTTTAAACTGCTCGGTTTCACTGATAAACTCCGTTTGCAGGCGCCATGACAGCTCGTTTCAAAAGAGCTAACCGTCCTAGCCAAAGCTAGCCAGCGTAGCACTGTAGCCCATTCAAACTCCACTGCCCTTAGCATAGCCAGCTAACTAGCTTAGCCGCTAAGAGCGCATCTCGGTAAAATGGATGGTCGGAGCGAGCAAGTGTACCTTGAGAAAAACGGCTCCGCAGGCGCAAATCTTTAATAACATGTCTGTAACATGAAAGAGCGTCTGTCGGGACTCACCTGTAGGATGTGCTCTCTGTGGTTAAAGCGAGAAAATGTCCGTATTCATCATGAAACACAAGATTTCATTCAAGACGAATCAAAAGCTTGCGGGAAACTCAAACTCTCCGACAATCAGCGCGAAAAATACTCACTTCCGATTGGTCGGGAACAGAACGAGGCTCCAACCGGTCCTTTCAAAAAACCAACCGTAGGAAGTGACTGACCCGGTGTGTCCGGTGTGTCCGGTGGATGTCCGGGCGTCCTCACACCGTCTTTATACAGTCTGTCTTTAATCGGTCATGTGTTACAATCACTTCATGTGTGTTCATCATGTAACGACCTGTGAACGTCATTATTAGGGACTGTTCGACACTTACCAGGGACGCTGGGTGTGACGTGTGCATGACGTACACATGACTTATTAGATGTTTAAAACTGACTTTTTGATGTTAAAGTTAAAAGCTGGAGATGAAAAAAGCCTCAGTTTTTAACTCATGTCGTTCATGCAAACAGTTTGTTTTTATTTTCTTAAATAAGACGTATGTGTTTTTTTTAAATGTATTTATTCATTTTGCTGGAGCGTTACTTTATTTTTTATCATCATATATTTTTGCACCACCCCTCACCCACTCATAGATAACAAACAGTCCCAGTGGTTCTCAAACGGTCTGCCATGATGCCAGTCCAGGTGTGCCGTGATGCCAGTCCAGGTGTGCCGTGATGCCAGTCCAGGTGTGCCGTGATGCCAGTCCAGGTGTGCCATGATACCAGTCCAGGTGTGCCATGATACCAGTCCAGGTGTGCCACGATACCAGTCCAGGTGTGCCACGATGCCAGTCCAGGTGTGCCGTGATGCCATTCCAGGTGTGCCATGATACCAGTCCAGGTGTGCCACGATGCCAGTCCAGGTGTGCCGTGATGCCAGTCCAGGTGTGCCACGATGCCAGTCCAGGTGTGCCACGATGCCATTCCAGGTGTGCCACGATACCAGTCCAGGTGTGCCATGATGCCAGTCCAGGTGTGCCGTGATGCCAGTCCAGGTGTGCCGTGGGATTTTGTGATAGCCGCACATTGTTATTGTAATATTCAACTGGACCTAAACAAAAAAGTTATAAATTAATTTGTACTTGACTGTATCATTATGTTGTGTGCAGACATCTTCTAATAAAGAAGCAAACTCCAGCTGAAAAATAATTTAATTTAATTTTAAAATAACCTTCACAGGGAACCTATTTGTTGCTGTTTATTTTTGATTTATTTATTTGTTTTTAATTATTCCGACCCTCCCTGAAGCTCCAAATGTTTTTCCTTGATCCTCTTTCCAACGTAAATGAGTTATTGAGGTTATTTATTATTTTTCAAATGAGACATAGAATAAAGTGATTTTGATAAGAGTATGAAATAGAGGTATGTAAATATAAAGTAACAAAACAGATATAAAAATGTGTGTTATGCCACAATGTTTAACACTGGTATTTCAGATATTAAGAATAATATATATATCTTCACTGTGCTGAGTGTGTGTAAACTATACAGATATGTGCTCCATCACACTGTATAAACTAGTGTTACAGTCAGAAATACAAATGATATATTACACCATAATATTCACTGCAGTATACACATCAATAGAATAAAAACCAGAATAAGAATAAACATAATAAATATGTACAATTATGTGAATTATATGTTGAAGAAATACATTCAAGAAGTGAAGTCATACACTGAAGGATACTGCTCAGCTCAATCACTGCACAGTAAAATAAATAAATAAATAAAATAACTGAGGTCCTATAATTATGATTTAATCTAAATATTAATATCAACATTAATCCACACAGAAACGAAGACCCTGTGTTCCCTTTCAAAAATATGGCAACTAAACTTCTAACAGCTCTAGAAATGAAACACGGGTGATCATAGAAATAAAAGACCAAATGATGATGGACCTGCCTCACAGGAGCAACCTGGTTCAGGGGTCAGAGGTCAGAGGTCAGGGGTCGGAGGTCATGGCCGAGCCTGTAGGTAGAGCTCAGGGCCACATTAACACTGTTCTTTAAAGTCAGGCTGCAGTATCGACACAGGAAGCTGGGGGGCGCACTGTAATAATACAACCTATTTCCGGCGGAAGTTGACCTTTCAAAATAAAAGACACCATCCTTGATGCAATATTCCAGCAACACATGGTGTCTGATGAGTAATGAGCATGTGGACATCACTGACAGTGGCGCCGGGTGGGTACGAGGGCCCCCGTGCACGCTAACGTGCACATATCATCGGATCACATCATCAGAGAGCTGACAGTGGATAATATGGATAACATATTACCCAGCAGCCATCACTGCATATCTGAACATAACAATAAATATCAAGGAAAACAATAAATTAATTTAATTAAAAAATGTTTATTCTTGATTTATAATTATAGAATAATCATATAATGTCAGATGTTACTGACTGTTTTACAACAAAAGAAAAAATAAATATGACAGAGATGTGTTTGACTTTTTAAGGTCATATAGCAAATGTCACTGTTTGTAATTTAATGACAGTTGTTCTGTGAACACAGGCAGGTTTCCAAGGTGACAGTCTCTCATAAAGACAAAGGAGAGGAACACAACAAAATGTTTTTGCCTGATGAAGGTCGAGTCACTGAAACGCTGCAGCAGTAAAATCATTGTTTTTGTTAGACAGTGAGCGGGAATTTTTCTACAAGTTGAATCACCCACACGGGCCCATTCTCCACCCAACACTTTGATGGAGGCCCCCTCTCTTTATGCCCCCCCCCCCCCACCTCACAGGACTGCCCTGCCTGCACCATCTATATTTACACCCCTGATTACTGCCCATGTTTAAAACAAGATTAAATATCTGTTAACACAAGAATATTAAGAATAATAATGATGTTGCTGATGTGACTGCAGAGCGGCGTGCAGGAGGTGACAGGCGTCAGATTGATGGATCCACAGTTTGAAGATGCCTTGTGTCACCACAGTCTCATCAGTCGTCCTCTGAGCAGCTCCACTCACTCAGCTGGGCTTCAGGACCTTCCTCAGCTGTGGTCATGAGGAAGAGGCTGACGCTGCTCTTTTACTTTCCTCACCCACAGCATCACCCACAGTATCACTCACAGCCTCCTGCTGCGTTCAGGATCAGATATAAACCACTATCTGCTAGAGTCAGGTGTGAGAAAATGCAATAAAATACAAAACCTCATCTTTTTGTGTTCACAGTGATTTATTTATATCACTTTGTTCATACTGCATCATTGTTAATTGTGTTATTAAATATATTCAAGTATTTCCTCTGACCAATGTGATGTTTCAACATCTACTGCATATCTGGATGGAACTGAATTAAACAGAACTGATCTGAAAAACCTTGTGTTCACAGGTCACTTTAATTTGACCTGATCAAAAGATAATATTTTGGATTAGACTTGACTGACTGATGTTAAACAACATGATAGAGATTTATTAACTGAGACTTTCCCATACTGTTTACAGCATGTTATGTTAGCTGTGACTTTACACAACTCCAGGTGTATAAAACACATGATGAAATCATTGAGTCCAGCTGTTTTATAGCTGTGTTATAATAACCAGGTGTATAAAACACATGACAGCAGCACAGGACTTTTATTTTGACAATAATTAAAGACAAATCTGCTAAATTGATTCAGACTTGTCTGTTTGTATTCACATCTGTTTTTGTGATAATAAAGTGAAATCAAATCAAATACAGTTACACTGAAGCAAAAGGCAAAAACTGGCGGTGCTTAAAAACTCATCAGAATGCAGGAAACTAATTATCATTATTTGTCATTCCTCCCCTTCTTGCACCAATAGTAAACAGTCCTTAGAGATAAACGCCAAAAAAAACCCTAATCGAAAAACAAACAAACAAACAACAACAACAACAGCCCCCACAAATAAAGTGAAACCAAACGTGACACAGGTGTAAATTTGGAGTCAGCTTTTACTTTCAGTTTGACTGGTGAGTGTGTTTCCAAAAGTGTTTCCTGACAGAGCTCTGAACTTTTAACCCTTACAGTCACTGGATGTTTATTTATCTCTCACATCAGTGCATCACATCATCATTACAGTAGAAATAAAGTGTAAAGTGTGAAGAGTAAAACACATGTCAGTGTGACCATGTTAACAATATCTCTACTTAGGTCCAAGAACATGAATAAATAAACAATAAAAGATGCTTGATAAGATAAAACGTTATGATTTATATATGCAGTACACAAAGAGAAAGAATGCAAATGTATAGATGGAAAATAAACTACATATAAATGATAAAGATTAGGTGCAATAAACAACGTACACAATGACAGAAATATCTCGATGTCTCTCCAAGTCCCTCCCCAATGCTTAAAAAATAAGATAAAACAGTAAAGTAAAATTAAACAAAACAAAATTAAAAATAAAGTAAAATAAATCAAAATAAAGTAAAATAGAACAAAACAAAATAAAGTAAAATTAAAACAAAACAAAAGAAAGCAAAATAAACTAAAATAAAATAGAACAAAACAAAATAATAATAAAAAATAAATAAATAAATAAACAAATAACTAACCCCTACAAATACACCCACGCCAAACCGGAAACACATGCTTTTATTTTCTAAACATACCGGCAGTGTGTCTCCCTCGCCCATCTCCCGCTTCACGAACCCCCAGAAACAGTGTGACGTCACTAGAGTCCGGTTAGCTGTCATCTGCGCAGAGACGAAGGACATGGAGCTAAATATTCCTCCGTTCAGCTCCACTCGCGGCGAAGCTTCTTAAACACCGAGCCAGGATTATTCCGGTATGTGTATGTAAAAACGTCACCGGCTCACTCCGCTCCGACATCTTGTTGCCAGCCCGAGGCTAGCTGCGAGGCTAGCTGACGCGTTAAGTTACTGGAACAGTTGAGAAAAGACTCCGCATGGCGTTAATCCTGTTCACCAGGTCCCGGGCTCCGTTGATGAACACGTCCCGGTCCCTGAAGAGCGAGCTGAGGAAGAGCAAAGGTAAGGCTGCCATGTTGCTGTCGGTACCGACTCATTTACGTGTTTGTATGTCGTTAACTCTGCGGTAATAAAGGAGGGGGAGAGAGAGAGGCAGGGGGTCCTGTCAGGGTCCGGTTCGGTCCCTGTTCGGGTCCTGGGTGTCTCTGGGGGGCTCAGACTAAACACGGTGGGTGACTCAAGGTGACGGGAGAACTGAGCATCACACACAAACCTGTCTGTGGTTTATTGAACATGTCAATCTGTTAATATTGTGGATATATAAAGTCTGTGTGACATGTTCATGATGTCAGATGGCTCCTTCACTGATGATGATGATGATGATGATGATGATGAGGAGGAGGACTCAGGATCATAAACATGATCTGGATTCAGGTTATCTGAGGACACAGGCTGCCGAGCGCCCCCTCCCTCCTCTTCCTCCTGCTGCAGTCTGACAGAGCTGAGGTTCCGTGTTGTTACAGCAGGCACCTGTCCTCCATCACACACACTTCATATTTATATTAACAGCAGGCACCTGTCCTCCATCACACACACTTCATATTTATATTAACAGCAGGCACCTGTCCTCCATCACACACACTTCATATTTATATTAACACACAAGATGTGGTATATAAGAATAAACATGTGCAGCAGAGGTGAAGAAGGTGCTCATGGTGAAAACTTACCTCTCATATTTCAAATCTAATACAAATACAGTTTCTCTGCTAAACATCAGAATATAACAGACAACAAGTAATTATAATAATTAAATATCAAACAGACACATAAACACCACTAACATCATTAATCATAATGATGGACAGGTTCACTTCAGTTAACAAACATTTATTTAAGAATATTGATAAACTTTATTGCTATGAACCAGAGTTACAAACAATACAACACAATATGAAAAAACAAAGTACAACATCAGTCACACAAGATGCTTTTTAAGTATAAGATTTATATAAAGTGTAATATACACATAAATACACATACATATTAGTGAAGCACGATAATTGATTTTTTGCTGATATATAACAATTAATTTTGCTGATATCGATATATGCACTTTTTACCCACCTAATTTCACTCAGTATGTTTCCATGGAAACAGTGAAGTGGAGCTACAGTCCCAGCTGGACGAGGACATCTAACTGGCCTACTGTCCTTGTCCCAGTATACAAGCACGGGAGGGGAATCCATTTATTGAGCCAAGTATGTGCGACTCCTCTACGATAGGTGGAGATATGCCCCCTTTCAGCTTGTTAGTATTGGACCTTTTTCCTGTTGACCTATTACGTCACAGACCAAACAATGGACAAACAAGTTAGCTACGGTTAGCTAGCAGCTAACTGCTACCATGGTGGACAACTTTACAGCTCTGTACATTTGGTCCGTCCAAAAAGTCACGGCTCTGGATGTAGATTTCTCCATGTTGTTACCGGCTTCTTCTTCTTCTCTTACACATTTAATGCTATTGGACTTCCGGGTCAAAGCCCGGGGCGGAAACTGTGGAGCATGCTCAGAGCGCCTCGGCCAGTTTGGGTCTGATTGACTGTATACATGCAGGAGTCACATGATCTGGGTGTGTTAGTCCCACTGTGACAAATTCACTGCAGGACCATTTCACTCACACTGACATGTTTACAGGGATTTATATAAATCTGTTTTCTCTGTCATCATGGAAACAGACTGAGTGACTGGTGTTGACCTGAGTGTGTGTCCAGACATGCTGAGTGATGTCATATTACCACATGTTCCTGATAAGCAGTCCATGTTAGCTGTTATATAACTGATATAGATGTTAATGTGTGTCTGTAGTTAAACACAGTGCAGGTGTGTCACAGCCGTCAGTGAGTGGAGGTGAAGATGTTTTATATGAACAAAGAGTTTAAGTTTGAATTCATGCATTAAAGCTGTGTTTACATTTTTTCACCATTGTTTATGAGGACGCACACAGTGACGTCACGACAGAAATCAAAGGTTTATTCGGCTCTGTTAACGTAACTTGTTTCCTGTGACTGTGTCTGGGGGGGAAATCAGCTCCTGCCAAATGCTGGTTTGATATTTAAGTGTTTAAGTTCAGAACCAAAATAATGATTTACTATTGAACATGTATCTGTCAGTGGCTGAAAAAAGTTAATTCCCTACTCTGACAGAGACAGACTGTGTTTATTGGACTCATTTTGACTTGACTGAGGTTTTGAGCATGAGTCAAGAGTTTTATGGCTTCACACCAACAACTGACCACATTCATAAAATATTCGGGGCTGAAGACGCCTCGGACGCCTCGGACACCCACACCTTACAACCCCACTGACAGACAGGTCTGTTTATTCAGCGTCCTCAGGGGTACTCACATCTGAATTTATTGAACATGTTAAAATAATATAAACACATAATTAAACTTATATCAAACAGGATCCTCAGCAACACATGAGCAACTTAAATAATATCGTTCATGTTCATCAGTGGTGAGAAGAAGTTATTCTGCTCCCTCTGAGTTTTATATATTAATCAGAGATGATTAAAGGTCAATTTACAGCTGTCAGTGATATTTATCTAAACAGATCGACCCTTTCATTCAGAACAAGAACAGAATAATCAGAACAGATGAACTCAAACTATCAAACAAACAGGAAATGACCTAAATAAAATCTCTGTCCCGGCTCCTGGCCACTCAGTGTTTAGTCTCTGAAGCAGGAAACAGTCTAAAGTCAGGTGTGTTGTTGGGTCTACAGTGATCCACACTACATGTTGGGTGTGTGTTGAAGTGTTGAACCCTGACGCCTCATCCTGTGACCATGAATCACAGCTGTGTTCACAGACTGTGACATGTTAAACCTCAGGACTACTGGATGTTGCAGAGTCACTGTGGACACGTGTGTTTCTCCAGACTGACTTTTGACTTTCACTTTTGGTTCACACACTGTCTGTGTCTCTAAAAGTGAGAGACAGTGCTACAAAGAGCAGATTACATGTTACCAACAGGATTATGGGTAATATTATTACATTTACAGTGTCAGGTAACGAGTTACCACCTGAAGTGTGTTTTCTTGTTTCATTCATCCACACGGCTCCACTTCAGTCAAAAAAAACATCCTCTCAAAGTGTGTCGTCATGTGTCTGTGTCTGTCAGAGGAGTCTGGAGGCTTTCATGTAACGACCTTAGTCAGAAAAGTGGTGAATATATTCTGAATGCAGTGCTCACTGTCACTGATAATGATGTTTAGTTTTTGTTGGTCCTTTGTTTAGGTGACTAAAGACTCACTAACTGAGGCAACATTTGTTCAGTGCTGTTGTAGTTAATGTACACGAGGTGAAGATTTTCTCTGTAAATAAACACTGATTTGGTCTGCAGGCTGTTTCAGTGGAGTTACGTTGCTGACTGGTGTTGACCTGAGTGTGTGTCCAGACATGCTGAGTGATGTCATATTACCACATGTTCCTGATAAGCAGTCCATGTTAGCTGTTATATAACACATATTAATTAATTAAAGTTAATGTGTGTCTGTAGTTCAACACAGTGGAGGTGTGTCACAGCCATCAGTGAGTGGAGGTGAAGATGTCTGATGGAGGACAGAGTTTATGTTTGGCAGGTTTGTGCATTAGAGCTGGTCTTATAAATAGATGAGGGGTCATAAAGGCAGTTTGTCTGTCTGCACTGGACGGACTGACGCTGAGCTGTTGGCTTCAGGCCCACATTATCAGACAGACTGTGGAGCGTCCGTGAGGAGAGGTCAGAGCCTGTGAGACTGACTGAGCTCCCTTTATGTTCCCATGTCTGAGCTGATAGGAGGGCTGTTACATGTCTGTGGTGTGATGGACAGACTCCACCTCAGATTCTGGGGGACATGTTTGTGATTATCATGTGTTAATATCGTGCCGTCACCAGAGTGTCAGGAAACGTGATCAGCATTCGTTGAGGCGCTGCGTTCCAGAGTAAAGCCAGATTTATACTCATGTGTTGAATCTACACCAAAGCTACAGCGTAGGCTCTGTGTGGACACACAGACGTGTAGCCTAACGTAGCCTCATGTGCACCACCCCAAAAATATAACTGCATGTCGTTGAGACGCAGACCTCCTGTCTGTCTCTGTAAGCTGAAACCAGTGGAAACAAAGCTTTTATTTACTTTAATTTCACAGATAAGAAACAATAAATTGTGATTTATTCTGGCTGAAATATGAGTAGAGAAAATCTCCACTAGCGGCTAGGCTAATTTACACAATGTAAAATGTAGGTTAATGCTAATGATGTTAGCATGTTAATGTGTTCGGTGTCAGACAGTTAATTTATTAATGAACCTTGTGAGATGTAATGGAGCTGAGTTTTGTAACGTTACCTTTGTTAAATGTTGCTGTTGTCCCTGGTTTTATATGAGTAGAGGAAAACTCTGCTAGCCACAAAGCTAATTTATTCAATGTAATTTGCCATAGGCTTGTGCTAATAACGTTACCATGTTGTATTTGTGGGGAAAATGTGTCCAGATAAAGACAAGTGTTTGTCTGTGAATGCTGCGAGTTATAGTGAAGCTGATTTGTGTTTGAAACTGTCTCTATTAAGCCATGTTTAATGTGTGTTTAATGTGAGTAGTAAGTATAAATACTAACAACATTGTAGGCCACATGTGTATGTTAGGGTGTAGGCTCTGTGAGGAGCGGACGCCTGAACAGTGACCAATGAGCGTTAAGGCCCCGCCCTGACAGCTGAATGTTGACCGGTGCTCAGACTCTTTGTCGCAGTCATCAAACAAAGGTCGAGGGGCGGAGGAGGTGAAGATTATAACACTACGTAAAACAGCATCAATAAGTACAGCAGGAACAATAAAGATTGAGTCGTGATAAAAGGATGGGACATGTGCACGTGTTTCATCAGTGGGTGACGTGTGAGGTGGATCTGTGACAGCATGGTGCAGAGTGTCTCTCATTTTAACTGAGAGTTTTATTTGTTTGTGTAACTATGAGTGTTGTCAGAGAGGAAACAACCCTGAAACATCAGACTGAATGTTTACTGTGACACCAGATGTTTGACATCTGAGAGCCCATAAAGCCTCATACTGTGAGAGCTGGACATTTCATAACTAACCACAGTCTGGAGTTTGAAGCTCACTAACATACTGTTCTATAAACACACTGGTTTGTTTTCAGCTCTGGTTTGTTTTCCAGAGGCCACTGTGGGACTGAGCAGATGAGCTGTGATGAACTCCTGGATGAAGGCTCACAGCTGTATTGTTGAGGTGACAGGATCACAGTTTGTCCATAACCTCATATTTTTGGAGACGGTGGGGTTAGGTATGGAGAGATGGGTCCAGACAGCAGTAACAGTAGGGCAGCAGAATACTGGGAGGAACTGGAGCACCTGCTGTTCAGGTAGAGGCTGCTGAGTGTGAAAGGATGTGAGACTGCAGGAACTGTGACAGGGCAGAAACCTCTCAGCTGATGTTGGAGGGTACGTCATTGTTAAGGCCCTGACACACCAAGCCGACATCAAAGAACTAGCGGTGACGAAAGCCAACTGTTGTGTCGTCTACGTCGCCTCACGTCGCCCTGTGTCAGTTGCATTTGAACACACTACACGGACTACATCCGCCGGCCAAGTAGCACATACGTTCTGCGCCTGCGTGAGAGAGAGCGGAGTGAGAGAGTGGTACATCCTGTCAGCCGAGGGGTTTCCTATCTGTGCAGCCGAGCACCGCAGCACCTCCACGGACTATTACATCCAGACGGTCCCGGTGTTTCCTCCGCAGGCTCCACTTCACTCAGCTGCCCGATAAACCCGCTGCTTCTTCCCACTTTAACCTGAATAACAAACCAGGGCTCGGTGCTCCGGTTGGATCCAAACGGAGAGCCGGGGCTAGCTCAGAGACTAGCGGAGGCTAACTGGCTGTGCTTCCCTCCGGTCATGCTGCGGCTAACGCTCCGCTAGCCGCTCCCAGCTAGCTCCGGTTTGTTATTCAGGTTAAAGTGAGAAGAAGCAGCGGGTCTGTGGGGCAGCTGAGTGAAGTGGAGCCTGAGGAGGAAGCACCGGTTAGCCCCGGTTTCACTACAGGCAGATTCACTCGCTACAGGGGCGAGGAAATAAAACCTGAACAGCCAATCAGAGTGATCTCCCTCACCGACAAGCTCCGCCGCCGATTCAACATGCTCAATCGGCCAAAAAGCTGCCGATGCCAAAATGCCGACGGTGCGGGACATACCGCAAAAACTAGGGCGACAGACGCTCACCGACGGCCCGACTTTGGTCGACGGCCGACCATCAGCTTGGTGTGTCAGGGCCTTTAGACGTACACAAGAGTAAAGGTGAGGTGGAGGCATGTGAATCACTGTCAGGTGGATTGTAGGTCTTTATCTTGTTATATATCCTCGTCTGTTTGTGTTGTATGAAGCCGTGTGGGAGCTGTATGGAATTGTTAGTAACCCGTCAGGAGGGAGGATGAAGTTGTATTTGCACACTGAACAGCTGATTGTTTCCACAGTGAAAAATAAAAATTCAATTCATTAAAAAGAATGTAAATGAAGCTTATAATAATCCTGGATGTAAAGCACAAGAAAGTACAGTTTGGTGTTCTGGATCCAATGCAGCTGCAACCCTCTCAGTCAGATTGGGTCATGTGAGCGCGCACCTGTGAACCTGTGACCACCTGATCAATATATTATTGGAGCGTGCACTGATTACGGCATGATGTCCTCACCTTTAACAAGCAGTGTTAACAGAACTAATGACACAGATGTTTCTGTGGAAGTATTTCAGTCATCAGCTTTGAGTTATAACAGGAGTTTGGATCAGTTCAGTACAAACACTTGTTAAAATTCAAGATGTGAGTTCTCACTTTACATTTTTAAACCATCCTTCATGTGGATGAGGAAGACTACAGTGGTGTTAGGACACAACTCAGAGAGAATGTTGCTTCCATGGAAAAGAGGTTTATTCTAAATGTAGTTATATGAGGTGGTTTTCTGTGACTGGTTGTTACAGAAAAACGTTGTCTTAACTGGAATCATTCAGAGTTTGACTTGAGTTGAACGAGGATTTGAGAATGAGTCACGATCTGTGTTCTGCACAGCAACGTCTGACCATATTGCCAGAAAACTGAAGGTGAAGTTTTAGAATAAGTCTGTGAGCTGTCATTGGTCAATCAATCAATCAATCAATCATTGGTCTGCTCTGTGTGCACAGTGTGTGCATGAAGCGTGTCAGAGAGCGTTCCTACAGTTTTCCATCAGAGGGATTTTTTGGGGAGTTTCCTGATCTGAAGGTAGTTAGAGCGCAGAGTGTTATATGCTGATGATTTGTGTTATATGTTGGATATCTGTGATTTTTGGGTGTTAAAATAAAACTGATCTGGCTTGAAAATTCACCAAAGGTTTATTAATGTCACCATGACATGTTAAGCACGTTATTTAAGACATGAAGTCATTTTTATGGCTGTAAGAGCGACACATGGTAGAAGCTTCATACAAGGACTGAAGCTCAAGTTTGTGTATTCATTTACACACAGATTGTAAAGAAATCAGATTACTTGTGTTGTGAAACCAGAGTCAGAGAATCATTGTGTGACACAGTGGGGTTAAAGCCTCAGATGAAGCGGCGGCGGCGCAGCTGTAGGAGGACTGCTGGGTAATCTACTGTATTTCCAGGGTGTTCTGCCGGTGCTGCCGCTCGGCCACAAAGATGACACTGTTCCAGTAAACTCTGTGTCCTCATGGCTGCAGGCCACAGCCTGACATGTTCAACCAGGCCTTACTGGATTCACTCCAGCCGGCCATGTGAGAGCCAGAGGAGGGCGTGGCTAAGCCATGTGCTCTGATGTGATTGGCTCAAAGTATCTCACCACCCCGCCTCCTCTCTGCACGGACGTCACAGGGCCGGCAGCCTCTGGGGGCCTCACTGAGGGCGTGAATACTCCGACCTCCAAGACAGATCAGTGAAGAGATACTAACAGGAGAATAAAACACACCTCATACAGACTCACCACTACATGAGATATTATAACAGATAAGACGGAGCAAAAATCAGCTCTGAACAGAGAAAGATACAACTGGGACACACAAGAGAAACTTATTCAGTCAGAGCTGAAGCAGTTCATCAGATATGCTGTGATATGAGAGTTGGTGGTTTTCATACCGTGTGTGTTTGCTTTTCTACGAATCTGGAAAATAAAATAAAAGTGGACGAGAATCTCACTTTTGTCTTCAGATGTTTTACACAAACTTCCTGAAAACTTGAAAAGGTTTCAGTTATAGTGATAACATGTTTGTTCAGCCACAAATAAACCTTCAGTTTTCAGCCCTTTAAGGTTCATTTTGACTGATGATAATAATTCTGTGATACCATCAAACTACAATATTATCTGAGACAGTTACGGCACTGTGGAAATCTCACCCTGTTACAGCCCTGAATTGAATACAAAGACTTGAAAGTTATTCTTTGTACATTCTGGATAACTGAATTCATCTTATTGAAGCCTTATCCAACATTTATGGACGCATCTTTGACACTGACACACAGTGACGCACACAGTCAGTGACGTAGCCTCCTTCAATTCAGCTGTTTAAACTTGGAGAAGCACCATCGGTCAGTTACCTGTCCATCAGTAGCTCTACAGCAGGAAACTTCAAAATAAATTTACTGTACCTCAAAATAAAGTGTGTTTTTTGACACTTGCACGAGTCCATTCAGAGTGAACCTGTGATCCACCGGTTGAACCACTGCCATGCACCACATGCTCACACACAACCACACACACAGTTAAATGCCATACAAAGAACAATATACAACAGAAGAACCTCAAAAACTTGAGCTATCTGTTGTTCAGTGTTCTGTGGCTGCTGTAGGCAGGGTCGCTGCTCTCAGCCTGGTTGTTCTGAGCTGTCTTCAGTGAGGTTGTTACTGCAGTGGCATTGGTTCTGTCAGAACTGGAGCGCACTGACTTCACTGATCGCTCTGCTCCTGACTGGCCTGTGCCAGACGATGACAGACTGATGGTTCATCCAATCACCTGCTCAGTATTTGTTGTCGTGCCCGTCCTCCTCCAAACAGTTGATGTGACACCTGCTCAGATGGTTCCGTGGAACAAACCATCTGCTGCATCAGGCTGAACATTTGCTTTCTACCATGTGATGAAGGTTCAGAGTCAGTGCAGACTTTTTATACAGACCTCATATCAACACCAGTATGAACCAGTGTGTGGTTCTGTTGGTGTCTGTGTCAGTGAGTGGAGAGGTGAAGTTCATGTGTGTGAGCAGTGAGAAGCTGCAGACAGCTGCTGAGTGAAAGAGTCCATCTGATGATCAGCTGTTCATGTGTTCATCTCTCTTCTTTCAGGGAAAGTTCAAGATGGAGCCTGTTTCAACTGCACAGCGCTCAGACTCTCCAGTTCAAAGTAAGACCATTAAATGTGTTTTTTCAGACACACACACACACACACACACACACACATGGTAACATACGATACGACTGCAGTGTTGGAGGTCTGTAGAGCTGTGTGCTCTCCTCAGATTCAGCTGTGATGTCTGAAACCAGCTCCTGTTGAACCCTGAGTGATGTGAGTGTGACGTCTCATCTTAAATGTATTGTTTCTGATATCTTGCTGTGCGTTACAATCCTCACACGACCACACTATACAGAACCCCAGAAAAAGATTAAGTATGTTAAATGCAGTGCACCAAAAGCATCAGGATGTTGTGCTACATCAGGTCACACTCTGCAGTCTGTAAGGCACCACACTTTACTGTCTGTTCTGACCCACAATCCTCTGCACAGCGGACGATGCGTCACATCAGCTGTCAGAGGTCACAGTGACACCAGTGGAACAGTAACAGTAGGAATGTGAATTGTCTAATTGAATAAAATGATCCTAAATATAACAAAAGAAGGACGTCAGTGTCATTTAACTGTGAAGCCTCTGTGACGTTTCTGTCATGAACATAACATGTTAGGATCTACAGAGTGCAGTCATTACTTACTGTGACAGAACAACATCAGATCTCTTCAGGTCGACCTCCATCTGTGGCGAGCTCCAGCGTTTTGTTTTATCTCCATGGTAACAGATATATGAGTAAGAGGGTCAAAGTTCAGGGCGTGATGTTATGAGACAATAGTCTGTGCTGATTGTGAGCAGACTGTGCGTGACACTACGAACTTTATAAAGGCGGCTGCAGTAACTACTGAAAGTGAAGAGAAGCAGAACATTCCTCTGGTCTGTTGATGAATCTAACAGGAATCTGACTTGTTGAGCTACTGTTGAATGAAACACTTGGTACAGCTTTACTCTTTAGACATTATTTATTTGCTTTAAATTTGGCACAAACGTCCACTTGGACTGAAGAATATACTGATTAGATTTTTGTTGTTCGAAGGTCAAAGGTCAAAGACTGATACTGTATTTAAATAGATTTCTCTCTGACACTGAGCTCACACTGTTCGTTCTGAAGCTCTTCATCTTGTCTCTTCTCAGACTTGATGGACTCAGACTCGGCAGTCTGTCCCAGGTCCCTTCATGTGGTCCCTCCCTCCCCCTGTCAGATGGATATGTGGGCCTCTCCCAGGGCCCGGACTCTCAGCGCCTCTACTGTGCCTTTGTGTCTGGGGCCTCCTCTTCAGTGTACTCCTCACTCACAGCGGGGGCCCAGTGGACGATAGCGCGACCACAGGACATCCCCGGTGTCAGGTGGATACACACCTCCAGGAGGAGATGGGACGACTCCAAGGTGGAGAAGTCTCTGCGCTCATTAAAGGACAAGAAGAAGAAGCTGGAGGAAGGAGGGCCGGTGTACAGTCCCACGCTGGACGCAGAACCTGTGAGAAGGACGCTGCGACAGCGGGTCATAGACGAGATCAAGCACTACTACCACGGCTTCAGGCTGCTGTGGATCGATACCACCATCGCTGGGCGGATGCTGTGGAGGGTGCTGAACGGACACGCTCTGTCCCGCCGTGAGAGGAGACAGGTGAGCTCTGCAATATGTTCTGTATATGTTCAGCAGCTCTTTATAAACAACAAAAATGACATCACATGTCGGCAGCGGAGGTAGTGACAGCGCCAAAACAATGTCCGTATAAACAGGACAGGCGGCAGGGCGGGTGTGACGTGTTGATGACGTGTTATGTTTGTGACTCACCACCGGTGATTACAGAAGTAGCAGTTAGTGGCTAACTCAAAGAAGAAGAACAGCAGCTGTTAGCAGTTAGCGGCTAACTCAAAGAAGAAGAACAGCAGCTGTTAGCAGTTTCTGTTATGTTACATGTCATTTGTGATGTCATGCTGACATCACAAACTGGAGCCACATGATGCTGCCGTCATTTGGTCTTGTGTAAAGACGGGGCGTCGTAGTGGCTCTATGGCGCCACCTCTGTGTGAACAGTGTCAGTGTAAACATCACGGTGAGCTGAGGTCTGCTCTGTGACAGGAGATTTTGATCTTTATTAAAAGATACCTGCAGAATTTTCAGGTGACGGGACAGGTGTTGGTATCAGATGTTTTGTTTTCTGTTTGTGGTCTGAGTCGTATTAACCAATCACATTTGATCAGCAGGTAAACAGTCTGAGAGGTGGAATCTGTCAGCTATCATCTGACGTCAACTGTTGGCTTCACATTAGCTTTTATTTCAATTGTATCAGCACTCATACACAGATAAGTGTTCACAGAGATGAGCAGGAGGAAGTCTGGGCTCAGGTATCAGCTGGCTGCACCGGATCAGCCTGAAATATTGGCCCTCATCCTTCAGAGGTGTTATCAGCCTCAGCTGATTGCAGAAACTGATATTTGACAGAAATTGAGTGGTTATACCATAAATCCATCATCCAGAGTTTCCAGTCTGTGTGAGAGCTCAGGGTTGACAGTTGACAGTTGAGAGATGAGTGAGCAGCCACAGCTCAGACATGTAGTTGTGTAATGTTTAATCCTCAGAGCTGATGGGATCAATTATAGAAACCAGGCTGCACGCTGAGTGTTTACTCACCGGGCGCTCAGCAGATTGTGCTGCTTGATTAAAGCTCTTTAGGAAGAAGCTTCATGTGTTACATCTTTGATTAGAAAACTCCTCCTTTAACCTCAGCTCATCTTCATCCCCTGCCAAACCTCCTCATCACCACGTCTCACCTCAACACAAGCTCTGGACACTAACTGTTTATAGAAGGTCTGAAATGTCTTGTAAAAATACATTGATGACAATCACTAACTCAAACCAGACGCTGACTGCTCCTCGCTCAGTTTAAATTTATTGAAGGTTTCCAGTCGCAGTTAAGATGATGTGACCTCGTGATAATAACATCCTGTTTTATCCTCTGACCTGATGTGTATCTTGTTTTGAGTCTGACGGTCTGGATGGCGGCCCAGAGTTCTCTGCAGCAGGCTGATGATGGAGGTGTTGGCACTCAGCCGTCATTTCAGGGAAGATGAGCAGTTCAGCTCAGGTCACTCTCTCACGCTGTATGTTGTTCCTCCTAAACACTCAACTACTGACTCACTGACGTGGTGACAAGGAGTGGGAGTCAGTGGAAACCCCACGATACGATATTATTGCGGTATTAAACATGTTGATCTACACCGAGGATTGTGATGAAATATATTGTGATTCATCATCTTTCTTCAACTGTAAATTTTGTTCCCAAAATAAAACTTTGTCAACATCTGTTTTTATGCCACTGCGCCGGCGACAGTCACTGTCCATACGTCCGTCCGGCCCATCCTTGTGAAAACAATATCTCAAGAACACCTTGAGGGAATTTCTTTAAATGTGGCACAAACGTCCACCTGGCCTGAAGAATACACTTGTTGTTGTTTTTAAGTCTCTGTTTCAGCCATGGCCGGAGGCATTATGTTTGTGAGTTGTCCATCCAACATTCCGTCCCATTCTTGTAACATGACATCTCAAGAAAGCCTTGAGGGAGTTTTTTTCAAATTTGGCACAAACGTCCACCTGGACTCAAGAATGAACTGATCAGAATTTAGTGCTCAAAGGTCAGTGTGACCTCACGAAATATGTTTTTGTCCATAACTGCAGAAATCATTCACTAATTCTGACCAAACTTGACACAAATGTCTAACAGGATAAAATAATGAAGGTCAAAAGGTCAAAGGTCATCTTGACTGTGACATCATCATGTTTTAACGTCATATCTCAGGAACAGAAGGGGAGACATTTTACCACAGGGCAGTAACTCTAGTAATAAGATGACGTTTTCAGTCTGTTCATCTCAGTTCAGTCATTTTTACTGCAGCAGTAAAATGTGTCTGGTGGACTGAACATGTTTTTATTCTGTTTGGGAACCAAAAGGTTAATTTGTATTTGCATTAATAATTTGTGGCTGCTGTGTGTGACTGGAGAGTCTCTGTTTGTTGTGACCGAGACACTTTGTCACAGTCACAGTTCACCCACAGATTTAGTTGCTGTTAAAACAAGAACAGAAATGTTAAACATGTGGTTGTTTGGCTGCCAGAGATACTGATGGAGATACTTCTTGAACATCCACATTCAGTCATTACCAGTGAGGCTGGTGACAGGATCCTGCTGTAACACTGCTCCAGGCTGTTATGGCTGATCCAGCTCGCCGTGCTCTACGTGTTCGTATTCATTAGATTAAATTAAAGTGGAGCCTCAGGAGAACGTTTATAGATCGATCTTTACATCCTAAACATAACAGGCTGATTATTAAATACCTGCTGAAAGATCCAGAGGAACGTACAGGTTCTTCAGACATCAGTGCAGAGGCATGTTTACTATGTAGTTTCACAGGAAGCACTGATACCTGACGACAGAGGGACACGTCAGTCTCTACGTGCTGATGGTGCAACAGTACAGTGAAGAGCTGAGCTGTGACTGGAGGAGGTGAAATCTCTACGTGCCTCATGATTTGACTTGGGAGGCTACGATGCAAAAACAAAATGACTATCGACACATCTTAATGCAGCATTTTTTATTTCTATACTAGATTTATTTTTTCTCACAGTGTGACGAATTCCTGCTTTTAAAACACAGCGTATCTGTAACAATCCTTAATGACAACAGTTTGTGCAGAATGTGACAATATATAACCTGCTCTGTGCTGAGTGATGATGATGATGTTGATGATGATGATGATGGAGGAGTAACAGTAGGAGTAAATCTTGCTGGTCAGTGCTGATAATGACCACAGTCCCCCCTCCTCATTAAACCTGCCCCCTCCCCGACCCATCAGCACCTTTTCAGATGCAGCTGACTCCCTCTGAGCTCACGTCCCAAACCCATCTACTCCTCATTCATCTAACCTGGACCTGCTCTGGCTCCTTAATCTCCTCCTTTCATATTCACCTCCTTCTATTTTAATCTGTGGCCCCTCCTCCCTCCTTTTGATGTGCAGCTCTGGGAGATGATATACATGTCAATGGGGCTGTGGACAAAGGCCTTTTCACTCAGGCTGGCCTCAGTCCTTCACCCCACTGCTCCTCTGACATGCAGGTGGAGAAGGAGGGACTTCTCTCCTCAGGGCCGTCTGTAGGGTTGTGTCTGTGGCCGGTCAGTAAGCCACGGTCGGACATCTGCACAATGAAGCAGAGCAGTGTTGCCTGCTGCCTCTGTGCTCTGAGGATTGTTCACGGTTGTGCTTCCTGTTTGTGAGCCGAATGTTCACTGAGGTCCGACGGCTCCATGTAAATGACACAGCAGTGAATTAGGAGGGTTCTGTTCAAAGTGCTGACGGCTCAAACTGTTATTAGAGGAGTGATTGTACCCTCACACAAAGGAAGAGGAGGTAAACACCCCCCTCACTGCTGCTCTCTGCTGGAGGCCTGTGTGAGCTGCAGCCTGCGGCACTCGACCTGAAAAGCCCTTGACATTATTGAAAGTCCAAACACAGGCAGACACCTGCTGAGCTGCTCAATAAATGTGATGTGAACCAACCTGCTGCTTTAAAATAATCTCCACACTTTGAGGAGTCAGTTCTAACTCCAGTTTGTCCCCATTTCCCTCCAGTTCCTCAGAACATGTGCCGACGTCTTCAGACTTCTTCCCTTCCTGGTCTTCATCATCGTCCCCTTCATGGAGTTCCTGCTTCCTGTGGCTCTCAAACTTTTCCCCAACATGCTGCCGTCCACCTTTGAGACAAAGTCAAAGAAGGTGATTAGAGTGTATCACTCAGACTGAAGCTGCACGACACACACAACATCCACAAGATCCATTTTAGGGAATTATTTTTGTAACGCCTTATTCCCCAGGTTTTTATTTGATGACAATTTTACGGACGTTTTATAAAGATGTTTAAGGACATTGAAAAAATACATATTTTTCTGACACTTTATTTATATGTATTAAGACATTTTATTAATATGTGTTAGGGCAGTTTATCAACATTTTTAGGACATTTAACATATTAAAAACATTTTTTTTAATATTTAAATCCTTTTTTCCTAATATATTATGAACACTTTTCCAGACATTTTAATCCTATTTTTAGGACATTTCAATAATGTTTTTCAGATATTCTTTGAGAAGCTCAAATAAGAATATAATATGTAATTATTTTCATCATCCATTAATGACCTGATTATATTTGGATTAGTTGATGAACCCAAAGAGATTCATTCAAATGTTTTATTTAGTTTATGATGAGCTGTGACAGAGAGGGTGTCGTGTTGCAGCCTGGACTGATGAGTTAAACTAAAACTAACCCTTCAGGAGATCACAGATTTATTTATTTACTTTCCTCACAGTTTGTAATATTGTTGAAACAGAAGTTACCGTGTTGTCATGATGGACAGGGATTTATTTTATGTCACACCACACTGAATGTGTAACATGTTGTTTTTTAGGAGGAGCGGTTGAAGACGGAGCTGAGGGTCAAACTGGAGATGGCCAAGTTCTTACAGGACACCATCGAGGAGATCGCTCTGAGGAACAAGGCGGCTCAGGGCAACGTGACGGAGGAGTTCTCCACCTTCTTCCAGAAGGTTGGTGTGAGGCCGGGCCTCGTCAGGCGCAGTACCGCCCCCTGGTGGTGGATATAGTGAAGTGTGTCCACTTGTATGTGTGTGTGTGTTCATCAGTGAACTACTGTAGTTCAAACTGAGGTCATAAATGTAAAATGTGAGAGTTCAGTAGTCAGTCTAAGAACTTTGTTTCACACAGGTTTCAGTAAAGCTGCCAGTGAGATGTCCTGATAACTTTTGATTTAAGATAAGAGCAGTTAAAACCCTACAATGTTGAGTACAAAGTGTGAACACAGTATAAATCAGTTGAAGTTTGACTTCCTGTGGCAGAGCAGTGACACAGACTGAGACACTCTCAGTCAGAGAATCATGATTTAGGTTTTAAACAGATATAAAGATCTGTCAGACTCCTCCTCTCAGAAGGATTTACAGTCCTGACTTGATCCATCTCTGCAGATCCGGGACTCTGGTGAGCGTCCCAGTAACGAGCAGATCATCAAATTCTCCAAACTGTTTGAGGATGAACTGACTCTGGACAACCTGACCCGACCTCAGCTGGTGGCGCTCTGCCGTCTGCTGGAGCTCCAGTCCATCGGGACCAACAACTTCCTGCGCTTCCAGCTCATCATGAAGCTCAGAGCCATCCGTGCTGACGACAAGGTATCAGCCTCAGGTTTACACAGGGAACATATCAGTCTCATCTCCAGGTTCATACATGTGTTTCAGGTTCCTGCTAGAACGTGTGGTCATGCTTTAAAGAACAGGTTATTTCCCTCTTTATCACCATCAGCTCCTCTTTCATAAAGAGTAAAACCAGGTCAGAGGTGATGCTGCAGAGAAACAGTTCATGTTCCCTGTTACTCTGTGTTTTAAATGTTTGTATTGTATTGTATTTGACGTGATTAAACTCAAAGGTGTGGTCTGTGTGCTCTGTGTGTGTGTGTGTGTGTGTGTGTGTGTGTGTGTGTGTGTGTGTGTGTCCAGCTGATAGCAGAGGAGGGCGTGGAGAGTCTGAATGTGAACGAGGTGCAGGCGGCCTGTCGGGTCAGAGGCATGAGATCTCTGGGAGTCACAGAGGACCGACTGAGGGAGCAGCTTGCACAGGTAACAACAGCAAACACAGACAGGACATTTAACATTTCCTCCAATCACAGAACTGAATATTAAAACGTGTTCTGGTGCTCAGAGACCAAAAGCAGTGCTGTTATGTCGCTCTCTCTCTCGCAGTGGCTGGAGCTTCATCTGAACCAGCAGATCCCCACGTCCCTGCTGCTGCTGTCCCGAGCCATGTACCTCCCCGACACGCTGTCCCCCGCCGACCAGCTGAAGACGACGCTGCAGACACTGCCTGAGATCATGGTACGTGAAGACGCTGTGTGTGATGTCACTGAGCAGGATTTAAAGAGCAGTGAAAGCAGATGAGCTGCTCTGCTCTGAGCTGTGGTTCTTCTCTTCTTCCAGGCGAAGGAGGCCCAGCTGATGGTGGCAGAGATGGAGCTCTCTAAGGTCGACAACAAGGCCAAGCTGGAGACCACGCTGCAGGAGGAGGCCGCCATACGCCAGGACAACAAGGACAGGGAGATGGAGAGGCTGGCGGACGCTGCGGAGAAGGCGGCCAGGGTAAACAAGACATCCGTCGCCTGATTTTTATTTCTTTACTTTCTCTGACAGAAACACGTCTTTCTAACGGATGTCTCAACATGAACATGATTTAATACCTGTTTTCACTCAGACGTATAAAACACAGAAAACTTCTGATGTGAGTTCTGATGATGAAAAAGTGTCTGATGACAGAATAATGAAAGCAGAGTTTTGGTTCTTGACTGTTGTTGATTCTTTCTGTTCAGTTGTTAAAGGTGTTTCGGTTCGATACGCGGCTGTCGACGCCTGTTTCCATGGCAGCTCAGGAGCTGTTCATGTGTGATGACTGTTGTTAAATGTACGAGGAGTCGTGTGTATGTTCATCATCATCATCATCATCATCGCTTCTTCCTCTGCAGGAGGGAGAGCTGGAGCCCAAAGCAGAGCCGGTTGTATCTGACATGGCTGCTCATTCAGAGACTCTGAGGGACACGGCTCCTGTCATAGAGGGGATCAAGGTAACGTCTCTCACAGATCAGCACAGGTGTCTCCTTAATGATGCTCATCACTCTGTGTGTGTTTCATTGGACAGCGTGCACACAGACGTTTATGTTTCTGGTCTAAAGAACTCAGTCTGTTCTACATTTATTTTTATAAACCAGCATCAAACTGTGTCCTCTCTGAAGCTGAGATTAGTATCACAGATGTTACACACTGTTTAATAAGTGAACCGTGTCACAGACAGTGTGTTGTTTTAAATTAGTTCATTATTAGATCTCCCACAACAGTCTCTGACATTAGTCCAGATAATATTTCTTTCTGTGTGATGACAGCTTATTTTTTCATGTCATGACCTCTGCGTCTTCTGCACCTCACAGTTTGAACAGTGGCAGAAACTCCTGCGTCTTCAGGTTAGCTCTACTGACGTCTCCTCCTCCCAGTGACCCTCACGTCTCCACCAGTGTCTCCCTGCACGCTCTGAACCTGCTGTTCCTCTGAGCGCCACCACACAGACAAGGGTTCAACAGGACCTGCGTGTTATTCTGGCATTTTTTTAAAAGCCATTTCAGATTTGATCTGCGGGTCAGTCAGAGTGGGAACGTAATCCTAACAACAACAGGAAGTAACTCTGAAATGGTTTTGTTGGCGTGAAGAGATGAATGTTGACTTCAGCCTGAGGTCAAACCACAGACGTTTGGCTCTTAAAGCAAAGAGACTGACAGGTCACAGGAGCTGGACCAGAGTCAGTCCGTCTGTTTTCAGAACAAACCACGGTCAGCATCACGTGTTATAGAAAAAAGAAAACACTGATCTGCTGCTCTAAATACGATGTGCACTTCCTGTTTGACCCTCGTCTGTGTGACCTTCTCCTCCTCTTCTCCCTGTGGATCCTTCAGACGGTCACTGAGCAGTTCCCTCTCTAACTAACGGCCTTCGTAGCTCCACAGAGTCTTCCTCATCCTGTGGGAATGTGTCTGTGGGTTATGGGAGTGTCCCAGTGTCCTCCACAGCGTCCCTCCTTTACCCACTCTGTGTCTTTGGGTTGGTCTCTGATGTGGGCCTGTATTAGATGCACATGTGGTGCTTGTTAGTGAGCGTCTCTGTTTCCATGTTGGAGGGAAAATGTGACCTCAGCCTGACGTGTTTATGGTTCAGGATCTGAACAGTAGGTCTGATTCAGAGGACACAGCGTATGTTATAACACAGGGTTTGGATGTGATCTGAGGAGCATGTGTCTGTGTTCAGGGAGAGGAGATCACCAAAGAGGAGATCGACCTGCTGAGTGATGCATGCTCGAAGCTGAAGGAGCAGAAGAAGCTGTTGACTCTGGAGAAGGAAGAGCTGGAAGAGCTGAAGGACGACGTCCAGGAGTACAACGAGGTGCCCGTCTCACACCTGTAGTCACACCCCACAGCATCCACAGATTCAGACGACTGTGAGGTGACTCAGTGTTTTGATGTGTTCCCAGGACCTGGAGGAGATAAAGAAGGAGCTCTCTAAGACGGGACAGGAAAAGGCTCTGGAGGAGTCCAAGGCCAGCCAGCGTCTGTCCAAGAGAGTAAACCGTATGATCGGTCGCATCGACAAGATCATCCTGGAGCTGGAGAAAGACAAGGTCATCCTGGACGGACAGATGGACAGCGGCACCACCCCGCCTGTCGGGTAAGAGCTCCATGTCTTATTATAACCTCCACACCGCTGCTTCTGTGCCATGTGACAGGTGGTTAAAGTGTAGGGCCGCAGTACTCTGTGACAGCGCCTGACACGAGGTACAAAGACACACTGGCTCAGGAAACAGGAAACACACAGACTAAATACAGGAGGGAGGCGGGGACTACAGGTGAGACACATCAGGGCGGGGCCGACGATCACTGAAGGACAGGAAGTAAATCTGAAGAATGACAGCAAGAATAAACAGGACAGAGGGAGACAGAG